TGTTTCATAATGTTAAATACCAAAAAAAAAAAAGATTGTTTTTCTGCTTTAATTTTAGTGCTGAAACAATAATCATGTTAAACATAATATGGTTTTAAAATTATGTCCCATATTTATCTTACTATATCACTCATAAGTTTTTAATATACGTTTATATACACAAACTCCTTTTCTTTCTTTTTTTTTTTTTTCGTTTGACTTACCTTTTCTGATATTTCCAATTATTCCGTCAACATTGGCCGGAAATGTTAATGTACCATTTTTGACCTAGGAAAAGGCATAGTTAATTTCATTTGGAATTTCTATTATCATATTAAAATAAATATTGTTCAGGAGTATACATATTAGTCAAAACGTACAAATTGCTGGCCTTAGTTCAGAATGCTTTATGCCCACTTTTCAAGTCATACAATAGGATTTTGTTTACAGGAGACAGGAAACGTTATCTAAATGCAAAGCCTAAGCGTTTCTTGATCATGCATTTTTATTTTATAGGCTTCTGTCAAAAAATTGTGATGACGATTTGCATGGTTACAAATATCTTTAAAAATTAATATAATACTTTATGCTTCTTGAACGTTCTCTTTGCCTACGAACTTACACTTAACGAAGTGTGTTTAATAATATCAGTAAGCAAAAACGAAACGAATCACACCAAGCTATTTCAGGTTTTTAAAACTGAAATCTGGATGGTGTCTCCCTCTATCGCGAAACGAAGTATTTTTCAGTACGTCTTTTTTCGTTTTTCCTTCGCCGATGACTTACGCGGTAAGCCTGTAAATCCGATAATTCAGGTTGTCAGCACATTTGCCCCCAAAACGCACTCCGAACTTTGGGATCGTAAATGCGCTATACGAGTGACAGTCAAATCCAACTATTCGATCAGACAATAATAGCCCATGTATTGGCGATGGTTGCTGTTAACTAGCTGCTTTCTTTCTACTCTATTAATTCAAAATTAGGGAGTAGTTTTATGCGAAATTTGGAAACAAACATTCTTTCTGTTTACAGCGGGATTTAACATCACGTTACAGAGTTTTTGTTTTTAAATAGAAATCACGAAAGAACACACAAAGAAACTGACAAATATTTTGCAGGTATTTTCGTAACAACCTAAGCTATAAAAATTTGTATAACTCAAAATGTCTCCATCTGAAATTCATGCAATATAAAAGCAGTGTTAAGCGGGAAGAAAATTTAAAAAATGGCTTTTTCTTGTTAGGTTTTCTGCAATACCAGTTGGACCATTAAATGTATTCTTGACTCAGGCATGATTGCACTAGACATTAACAGTAAATCACAACCCCGTAAAACAAGAGGTGGACAAACTACTTAAACTGCGTAACAACTGGATAAAATCATACATCTGGTCGACACAAGTCTTAAACTACAATATAAAGCTACCACGCGCAAGCTCCTGTATATTATATCAAAATCACCATGTTGGTTTTAGACGTAAAGGTGTTTGAATTCTGATAAAAGCAACTAGGGACAAAATATTTTATACCGATATAGGCAAACCCATAAGCAATGTGACCATGAGGTTATTTTTTGGATCTCAACACTTTGACTTTGGGTGGTATCTGGTGGGAAAATTAGGCATTTAGCTAGGGTTGTTCGCCATCTGAACTAAGGCCAGCGAAATATTATAATACTATAAGTATGTCAGTACAGAAATAACTGACAAAAAAATAAAATAAACGTTTCAAAAGTATTGAAAGACGTGCCAGTTTGACTGTTTGTTTAATAGAAAAGCTACGTTTGTTGGGTCATGAATGTTTTCGCAAAGAACTTGAATGGTGGCTTCACGTCACTTAATCCATCTTATAATTAACAAAATAATACGGTGCTCATTGTTATTGTTCATAGGTTTTTACTCGTTATTTCAAGCTTTAATTATGTAATTCTTACTATGAAAAATAACGCTCAACTCTTGGAATCTGTATGTGATTCTTGGTTTGTATTGTTTTGTTGAAAATAATTAGTCACTTTTATAAATGCAATTTTAAAATTCGTACAGTCAAGTTTGACTTTGAAAGCGGATTGCTTTGAACAAAAAATCTATGTAAATAATCGCTTATATTTCTCTGTTTGTATGCCCGGAACTTTTCTCGCATTATATTGTTAGAAGGGTGTTTGTCTGAGGAGTCCAGATTGCATATTGGCTTTTCCATTCAGAATCACCTAACCCGTTTCTAGTTAGTCAAACATTTTAATCCAACGAGTGTGCTACACGATGGCACAATATCTTTATCATCACGTGACGACTGGCTTTGATTTCAACTTTATTTTTCATTTGCAAAGTATTTCACACAAACAATACTTAACCCGCGTGTAATTTCCTAAAAAAATGAACGTTACTCTAAATACAATTCCTATGAGGGCTTTTTCGACTTATTTAGGTCTAAAATACACATGCGCAGTTCGTTCAAAACCACATGCTTATCACTTTGTGAACAGGCATTCAGACGTTTCTGTATATTCAGCTACGTTTGCCTTCATTAAAACTTTACATTCACTTAACTTTGCAATAATTTAGCTTCGTTTCGTTTCACAGGCTGCTATAAACACCTTTTAGTTACTTTTTTATTTAGTACAGGTTTAGTAAGTACCCTAAATCGAACAATTACATCATGTAAATATTACCTCAACAAACCTCTGCAGAGGATGGCGAGAACAGTATTACATTATGCATATTTACAAACTTTCCACAGATCCACCACTGTACGAAGGCATTAGCTGTCAATACCACGTTTAGGTAGACCAACAAAACACAAAGTCCATTGGAGCTATATCGGGTGATTTAACTGGTATATGGTCAAATGATATTATGTTTCCATTCATTTCCGCAATTTTGTTAACAGTGTTGACAGATATGCTCAGTTTCATCGAAACATCATTTTATCTTTTATATTTTGAGGGAGTGAGGAGTTCTCTTTCGTAATTATAGCCTTCAATTTGTGGGTCAGAGCTTGCTCCCAATTGGTGGGATGTGTTTTCAAAACCAGTTGCTGCCCTATGTGCTCTACTGTGCGAGTTTTTTCACTTCTTTCGAAAACAATGAAATCTCCCTTCTTCAATATTTTCTGTCTTTTTGGCTCTCTACATCGCTTAATAATCTCACTATACGAATTTATTTCTCATTACAAAAGTGATAATTCCTCCAGCTATAAATTACATGTGGCGATCCTGAACCGTGAACCAAATATATAAAAAACTAAACACATTCATAATGGGCCATTTCACGCTACTACACTGACTTTTACAAATAATTCAAATAAAGCCCAGCCAATTCTCAAGTACTCCACGGTGAGTAAGTGGTAAGTTCGCGAACTTATAAAGTTAAAATCCGGGGTTCAACAGAGTGCAGGTATACCATCTTATAGCTTTGCTCTAAAACAAAAATAAACTCTCAAGTATGAAGCAGAATGTATGTGATAGTTCAGCGTTAGGTCAGTATCATTCTAGCACTAACTCTGGGAGGCAAGCTCACAACTTTATACTGTGATATATCGATTTTTAAGTGTTTTTTCATTCGAGCAAGCGAAGTAAATTTATTATGGTTTATGATAAACATTTTTTTTTCAGTAAGGATTTTTGGTTAAAAACTAGTTGAATTACAAAGTAATTATAAAAAGCACTCCACCAAAGCAACTTATGAATAAGAAAAAATCATGTTTCTGTGTTCCAGGTGTACGAGCTTTGCTCATCGCAACTTGTATAGAAGTGTGAGGCGCGCGTATACCGATTCGATTTTATTACTCATCATGATTTCTACCAGCCAACTCTCAAATTGAAATTATTTTAGGCAGGATTAGAGTAAATTAATCTATGAGACCTTGGGCACGGTGAAATATATCTATCGAAAGGGTTTGACCTCCTGAGTCCAAAACTGTTATTAGATCTCAAAATGGTCAAGAGACGACGGAGCTATGAGCTAAGTGTTTGTACTTGAAAAACTCGGAGCCATTCTATGAGCGCTATGCCGCCGCTAAAATACAACAACAATAAATCACCGTTCTGAAGTATTTCGCCAGGATAGTTCTGGTGTGGACAAGGCCTGGCGGTTAGGACGCTCGACTCGCAATCTGAGGGTCACGAGATAGAATCTCCGTCACTGAACATGCTCGTTCTATATGGTTGCCGACTGCGCCAGCCACTCGGGTGTAAAAATTCTTGGCTTACAAAAAATCCGGGCCGACCCCAAACTAGTTAGGATTAAGATCGTTAAAGAAAGGGAAAAAAAAAGTTACTGGTGTAAGATGTAGGAGATTCACCTTAACGAAAAGTATAAAACATGAATATTAAACATGTTTATAAACATTTAAATCATTCTTTTATTTCTTAATGTGACTGACCTTTTCTTCTTCTTCCACCAGATTTGTACATGAGGAGTGGTTTAACACAACACTATCATTTAACACTGACTGATCCTCTGCTGAGATTTGTTTTGGGCCTCCGCTTAGATCTTCCATTGGTACACTGGGGGTCACGCTTTTTAATTCCGCTACATACAACAAAGAGAAAAAAAATAACAGTTTGCAGAAAATGTAAAACGTAGCAAAAGCAGATTGGTTTCAATAATACCTCTGATACTTTTAGCAAATCAATGTATATTTTATTGTTTACATATTTATCCTGTGCATAGTTAAACCGAAAGATTAAAATCTTCTAGATTACCAAATTTTGTGAAACGAACCTACTTGACCTGGAAATATTTTACATTAATCATAATTATACTTGGAATGGAACATCCACGCCAATAATAAGGGGGAATCTTATATCAGACATACATGTTCGACATTGTTTTACTGTCTATCGTTTAATAAAGCAGTCAACAGATAACTGAACTCGAAAATTTCGTTCAAATCTATCTAAGTTTGTTCTAGATTTCTCAGAATATTAAACATAAATATAAAAATATAGATATACTGCAAATAAATGTAAGGGAGATCAATAATATAATTTCTTTATCGTTACTTTCATTAACAGTATTGGTTAGAATGTTTATTGTAACTCATTTTACTACTTTTTATTATTATTATACTTTTATTATGGATTGTTTTGCACAGGTAGCTTAATATATTGTTGCGTCAGCGAGGTCGCGTGACTAGTGTCACGCCACGTTTTCTAGAAATATCCTGTTCTTTCGTGAATGCCCTAGCATTTACTAGATTGGGGGTAGTCAGTCTGGTATATATAAGATGGTCACAACGTGACGGAACAATGTGTAGGTAGTGAGTAATTGATCTACAGTCAGAGAGTA